AGCTGCAGCTAGCTCTAAGTTCTCTGCTTTTTCTTTCCTGAGGCTTATTTTCACAGCTTCTGAGAACCTCTACTGTTTGCCCACAAGTTACACCATCTTCATAACTAACCTGAAATTTGTTGATAGAACAGGAGTTCCAAGCAGCACTAACATTTCTTTCCTTGGATGAAGCCTCAATCAAGAGACCCAAAGCTGAAGTTACTGCAGCATTTTGTCCACACGAATGAAAGTTTAGCCAAGCTTGTACACAAGCCAGCCAGTGGCAGAAAGCCCAGCAGGTGTTTATTCCCCCATCCTCTACTGCTACTATCCCCACAACATGGAGAGCTTTCACAATATTTTGCTTTCTCTCTCCTCCCCACCCACTGTTGTATTTAAATGATAATTCCTTGCCGTTTAACCTCTTTAGGATACTGAGCTCCCAAACTGGGACTTGGAGACCTGCACACCGTTGGTGTGCTGAAGGCCAAGAAACTAAGCCCTGGTACTGCAGGGAGTTGCTGTTCTCCTTACATCCTCACTGCTTCAAGTGCAAATAGCTGCCAACACAATGAAGATGTCTCAGGGGATACAGTACTATATTCCAGTTCTACTAATCTCTTCTTGCAGCAATTACTTCAGCATCATTAAAGACATTTGGCGCAGTAACACCCAGTTTCTTGCACACAAAAAGCTGTATTTATTTGGGAGGATAGGATTTAAGATGTATTACAGCCCTCCCTGACAGCGGTTGGACTGCTCCCAGCTTGAACCTATCACACCATGCAGGCTTTAGGTGCCTCAGAGGAACTGAAGCACCAAAAGTTTTGGACAGACTATCTACCACAGCAGTCTTAGTCAGGACAGCATGATATGCTTTGGATACCTAGTGCACTTTTATGTTTGAGATAACCCTAAGACACCGCCTGAAACCTTTCTGATATATTTTAAGTGACAAGAGGGTAAGAGCTACAAGAACCTGAAAATTCAGGTTAAGTGCTGCTTCTGATGTTGAGTATTACGAACCGACCAAAACTAATTAACTGGCAACCTGTAGCAGTCAGCCTCTAACTGCAAAGGCAAGGCATAGCAGCCTGTCTCCCTTGAAGGAAGGAAGCAAATTAGGAATATCCTTAGATGGCTTACATTCTCCTTCTCCACCAGAACCAGCTATGGGTTATGTGATTTTACCTCTCTTTCTTTACTTCTGATATCCCAAACTCAAATCAGACAAACTTACCTCAAACGACCCCGTGTGCTGGGAGTTGTTATTTCACAACAGCTATTACTAATCGGCTGATACGATCCAGAGAATGCCTTCTGGTGTTCTGCTTTCTGGTATTAATCTGTGTCAACATCAAGACATTCAAGCCAAGCAATTTAGGACTGAAATTCAAAATCAGGCAGTGGAGGATAACCTCCCTGATTAAACTAAAGTCTGGAAACAAAAGTCATAAATATATTACAACATGGAACTGCATGACCTACTTCTCTTTGCCTCAATAATAACAACTTCAGAGATTTTACTAGTTAAAAAATAAATCCAATTCATTTCTCATAGCATAAAGTTAAGTATTTTAACATTACAGCAAAAACCTTTTAAGTTGGGCATTCACTTTCTCTGAGGGAATGCAAATCTGGAGGTTTTTTTTTCAATTAGAAGCAGAAAAGCGACCTTTAATTGCAGCATTTCAAATTATTGCCATTTAATTAATCAAATTTGCATAAGTTAGCAGAGTAGCATAGCTTTGAAATTGTACTCGGGCACCAAAGTGAAGTTTGACTGTTCTGCCTCCCTCTCTCCTTTTTTAAAATCTGTATCTAATGTATTTCTATGTGACATTTTCAAGCTCCAAAAGGTTAAAAAAATGCAGGAAATGTGGCTTCAGAAAATTAAATTTAAAATTATTATGTTAATAAAAGCTAGAACTAACCCAAATATTTTTAATTTTCCTAGGACAAAGATTGCTGCTCCCTTGCAAGTACCAATAGAAATCCTTTCTGGCTCTGTACTACTGCACAAGAATCTCAGGGAAGCACTGGCTTTTCCCATGGCATCTTAGCAGGTGCCCAATAAGCCAGGGTTTCTCTCCCTCCCTGCAGATATCTTTCTCCACCAGCAAGTTCCCTGACAGAGACAGTGCAGGCAACTAATAAAGTCTTTTATTCTAGTATAAATTATAATGAGCTGTCTCACCCAGTTAACATTCAGTCCCTAGATAAATCTTCAAACCCACTGGCATTTTGGATGTCAGCAAGTCCATGTGGGGCAGTGCAAAATAGATTATTATCAAGAAATACCAGAGGAAGAGTGAATAAAGCAGCCAAACCAGATAAGTAATTTTATTACCTGAAAACCTGAACTGATTCTAATATTCAATTGCTTTGTTGCAAGTGTTTGATTTCCATAACAAAAACCTTATATAAATTGCAAGTATCAAATGAAGATATGGAATGTTATCTGAATCTGCAACACAGATTCAAATATTAGATAAGCATTCGCATCCTGTTTGTATGTGTGCATGTTTCATAAGGCACCTCCATATTTATCACACTAATGTTACCATAGAACTGGTCTCAACATTACTATAGGCATTTTAGAATCAAGAAAACATAAGAAATGATGTGAGGTTACTTTAAAAAAATTGTTCAAAGTTATTTTCCTTGCTCTGGAGTAGAAGCAAGTCAGCTCTGCCCTGTAAAAGCCTTTGATTTTATGATCAGTTAGGATGGGGTGGTTTTATTACTTTTGCATTATCCCAGTGCCCTTGTTTTAGATAAGGTATGCAGAAGCCAACATAACTTCTCAGCATTTAGGACTGCAAGATTAAGAATAGTAATTGTTTGCAGTGCTGTTCCCACAGTAGAGCTGCCTGTTTAAACCATTTCCTGGCTTTGTAATTCACTGTTTCCTCCACACTTTCCTCCTCTTTCACTTTGCAGGCTTATTTCTACTGGAAGTTATTTTTTCAGAATGGCACTCCCAAAAATTCCAGACCAAGAAGAATATGTGGTTTTTCACTGCACCATATTAATCTCTCCCCTAAACCTTGGGAAGCAAGACCCTGCTTCTGCATTAAGAATAAAGTTTGCATGGGCTACTTTTTACAGAGTATTTTTCAATACAGGGATATTTGAATTTGTTAATCTACATGGTTTCAACTGATTCACGTGTTCAACTTATTCAGCAGCTTTGTCCTACTTTCTGCAAGTCTGATTATGACCAAGATTGTTCATAGCCAGTCCAAGGTATTTACTGGCTGCTTTTCTCCTGGATGGTCTGTGTCTCCTAGTCAGGGATTGTCTTCCCTTTCTTCTAAGGTTTCAGTGGGTCATGAGTTCAGTAATTTTCAGCTCCCTGCTGATGCATCTGTAACGCCTCTGGTTTCTCCCCCAAAGAGGTCCTCCCCTAAATGTTAAAGAAAAGCATATGAAGTTTAGGCTTGAGAGTATCCAAATTCCATTCCCACACTTGTGCAGAAGCAGACACCATGTCTGCCAAGGCTGAGGTCAAGCATGTTATTCCAGGGAGCTGCTTCAGAGTTAAAAGAAACACTGAACCTCTCTTTGAAAGGCATGTGAAGCATATTAGTTCTTAGGGTTTTACTGTCCAGAATAAGACTAAAAAACATTCTTCTGACCAATACTGAAGTCTGAAAAGAGACTGTAATTGGAGTTAAATTAATATTATACATGAAGGACCATGCCAATCTTATTATAAAGACAAAAAATCACAGAATTTGGTCTCCTAAGTAGCATGAACAGCTCACACTATCTGTTAAAGTTGCTAGAATTCCTGCTGTGAGAGCTTTCCCTCCCCCCCAGGAGTAAAACATAGTAGCCATGATTTCATTAATAATAGACGTCATTTTAACCTTTGCTATTTACTTGCTTCAGATCAGCTCTTTGGAAGTTCAGCCAAAAAATAATTTTTTTTCACTCCTCCAGTTGAAATTCCTGTAGTCCTTTCCCCAAAGGCAATTTCTTCATTGTAAAAGTAAATAATTTTTTTTTTTGTCTTTTCATAGGCCAGAAAACATGCATCCTTGGAATAGGGCTAGACTTGGTCAAGTACCAAGTATGTGAAACTTCACCCTTCACAGCCTTGTTCAGGCTTATCAGAAAAGCCAGTTTACATTGCATAGTAGACATGTAACACAGAGTGTAAACACACTTGTCATAGTGTTCCTCCTTTCTGATAACTGGAGGTAGAGGATCAGACCTGCTCCTGGAGCCAGCAGCAGCAATGCTTGGAACACCTCTCACGGAAAGCACCCTGAAAATTCCAGTGTTGGGCGCCTGCTTGTAGCAGTGCTCTTGGCAGTCACAGGATCTGCTCACGGCTCCTCAGCTTTAACTGATGAACTGCCTGTGCTCCCAGGGAGGTGAAGGGAATTGACTTTTTATTCCAAAACACATGCAGGCCTGAAAAGGAGTTGTTCTGCTCAGCGATCTTCACCAGGGTTTGTTACTCTGCACCATTTAAGGGCAAAGCCATTTAAGAATCAAACTTCCTCATCAGAGGAACAGGAGGGGCGCTGATCTCTTCTCTGTGGTGACCGGTGACAGGACCCAGGGAATGGCCTGAAGCTGTGTCAGGGGAGGTTTAGGCTAGGTATCAGGAAAAGGTTCTTCTCCCAGAGGGTGTTTGGGCGCTGGAACAGCTCCCCAGGGAAGTGGTCACAGAACCAGCCTGACAGAGTTCAAGAAGCATTTGGACAACGCTCTCAGGCACACGGTGTGACCCTTGAGGATGGTGCTATGCAAGGCCAGGAGCTGGACTTTGATGATCCTTGTGTGTCCCTTCCAAGTGGGAGCATTCTGTGATTTTGTATTGTTTTTAAAATTTTTCTACAAAAAGACTCTTGGTTGCCTCGTCTCTTTTCTTAATAATGTGAGACAGTTATTACAAATCAATACCCTTTATAAATTTACCTTGGAGGGACAGACAGGGAGGTAGATCACTCATTAGAGAACACATTTGAAAGAAAGCAGACTAGACAACACAACTGCAAAGTTTATCTGCAGCAGGAAGTTCACGTACTGAGGTTAGCCCAATAAGTTTAATAGTTAAGGAAAAACAGTGGGTATTTACTCACACACAATTTTATGAGAGGAACAACTGAAATGGCAGCAAGAAAAACACACTTTTTGGACAAACTGATATTACATCACGTTAGTGGCCCACAAACTCTTTAAAAAAATAAATCTTTTGAGACATGAGAATGAAATCACATTTTAGCATGCTTCAAATAGCTGAAAGGCTCTTCAAAGCATACATTTTCAGCTATTGGCAAAGACAATGATTATCTCCTCATCTGGAAATTAAAAAGCATTTAGCAATAAGTTAAAGCTAGCCTACATGTAAATGGGCTAAATACTAGTCAGAGAGTTTTCCCTTTTCACATTTAAGATGATACTACAGTTCATCACTTCTGTAGCTTATATGCTGTTGTGCAATGCCCCACTGAAGTTTCACATCTACTCTGAGAAAGAGAACAAGGGTAAACAGCTTTCTTTTAGGATAGTCACAAATGGTAAAAACAGTAGTATTTGTTCATCTGTTTAATTAGATGTTTGCTGTTTATCACACACAAGAACTGTAAGCAGAGTCCATGGATTCTTCTGAGCAATATGAAACCTTCTGGTTCCATGCAAGTTCAACACTGCCCCTCTCTCTTTTTTTCTCTCCTCCTCACTCATGTTGGCTTCAGGTACGTCTTACACCACAGGAAGCTGGATGTTTTTCTTTTGAGGCACTAGAAGTTAGGCTAAGAGTAATAGTCAAGTTGCCCAAAGCTAAAGGGACAAGTAGCTCTCATTACCTTCCTACTTAGACAGATAGCCAGCAAAGAAATTTTATTTTCCCTTTTTTTCCCTGAAATAGATTAAGTACATTTTGCAGTAACAGATTCCCCAGTCTTTCATTCACACACCTGTAACCCTGAAGTTTACTGTCCCATTTCACTTGAGTTTCCTCAGCCTCACGAGAGAAGTTAACAAGGGATCTCTCCACATTCAGATACGTACACAATCTTTTTTGTCTCTTAATAATTATCAAGTTTATAGTTGTCCTTTCACATTCTCAAGCTAAGCCAAGACAAGCTCAGTTCTATGACAACATTTTCATGTACCTCTCTTCAGAGAGAGCTGCTGCAGCTGAACAAGACAATTGCAGCATGCTAGTTATACTTGGATTTGATAAGCAGCTGGAAAGAGGAGAATAACCAGTTTTCTCATTTGTCTGTTTTCAGACATATAGAAAACCCCACTGTCAGCATCTTGAGTAAAAAATAGGTGACATCTTCAGACCCTAGTAAAACCACTTAATTTGTTAATTTGTTTAAATGAACACCCCCACCTCAAGTGACACAGTGGCCTGCAGTCTTCCTTGATCCATTCACAAAGCAAGAGTTATTTTTACTGAGTCAGTAATCATGCATTGTATTCCAGAGGAAATACTAGCCGGGTACCCCTGCTTGTAACTTCATGATCTGCTGCTCCCAAATCACGTTCCAGTGCTTCCTCCGAACTACTTTTTGTTCTCCTGCTGTCAAGGTTAGTGGTAGCTGTATGGGGGCCAGAAGAACCATTTGCAGTTATTGTTGTATCACCATATGTCACGGTAAGGTCACCATCATTCAGAATAAAATCAGAATCCTCTTCTCGGAGCTGCTCCTGATTCTGAAAAAAAGAAAAATCTTTATACAATGCACAGCACCTTTCTTTGCCCAGAACATTACTGAAGAATTTACCTTCATGTCAATGCAGGAGAGATAAGGTTCCACCTTAAGAAATGTTAAAAATAACCTTGAACCCAGTGTTTGCAAATCAGCTTACTGTTCCCTGTATAACTACAGCTACTGGGGAGAGATGAGAGGGAGCTGAAGCCAAGAACTAGGTTATGGAACGGGTGACCCGGGATTCAGTAACACTGGAAGTACACCAGAAGTACAAGAGATGAGTGGTACATATTGGGTTTTGCATGACAATTTAAAAGGCAGTACAGAAGATCAAGCACAGTTGAGCCACTCCAGATACAGAGTTGCTTCTGTTGCTAATTAGTCAAATTCATTAGTAAACTTTTCATGCAAGTTGATAAGAACGCAGAAAGCCCAAAATCTCTATATTCAAGGATTCCTCTCCACTTTTTTTTATACATCAAGAACTAACAATATTCATTCAAACTATGTCCTTACTTTTACCTGTTACTAAATAAAGAATTACTTGACCTAGTTCTTTGGAATGCTCCTGAGCCATAAAGGATAGATACAACAAAGTGCTTGCTTCATGGTTTTGTAACTAGTTTTGATGTGTTTTCTTCTCAAAAATAATTTTAGAAAGTCACTCACAAAACCCTGTGAATTTGTTTTGGCAGAGATGGAATGAAATATATAGTCAGAGAATAGAAACCGCTGAATTGTAATAAAGCACTTAATTTCTCTATCATAGCATAATACAGCAAAAGGCATTTGTACTGTGTTTCACTCCCATTTAACATGGTAGAAGGCAAAATAGCCTGAAAAATTGGTCAGAAAATGGGCTTCCTTCAAATTTGGGGAAAATTCTAATCAGTACTATAAGCTTGCTTTCTTGCAACTGAAAGCAATTATTTCCCCACATGAATGGTTCCGTACTGCTTAGCAGGAGCTGAAATGCGTATTGCTGTTCCCTCGGTAGGCTGGACACGGATCAGGCTACATTCTCAAAATGCATTATTTTCTTCCACTGCGGCAAAGGAAGGGGGGCACAGGCCATGTGAGATGGGATGTCTGTGATCAACGTGAACAGAAAGTGCTGCCTCTACTGCAGAACAGGAGTTCAGGGCACTGGAGATTGAAAATGCTGATTAACCTGTCCATGATGAAAAATGCAGCTCCTGGCTAAATAAAACTTCCTGGGAAAGCTTCCTGTCATTATGTCAGAAAGATAATCAGACAAAATAAAGCAGCAGAAGCCTCTAGATGATACAGAATATATAACTAATGAGGACTAGAAGAGGTGTCAGGAGTTTCCCAAAATCAGCGAAAGAAATGGTGCAGTTCAGCTTTGGGTGCAAGACAAGCCCTACTTTCCAAGGAATGCTAATTTCTTAGAACCCTAATGGCACTCAAATTTATCATTGCTTTTTTGAGACAGGGTTAGTCTGATAGAGAGCACTGTTCTCAAAGAGCAAACACGGGTTAGGACACTTGCCTTTTTGATCACAAAGAAAACGCTGACCTACTGGCAACATCTTAAATAGAAAAAAAAAAATTAAAGAAATTAAAAAAAAATTAAAGAAAATTTAAAAAAATTAAAGAAAAAAAAAGAAATTAAAGGGTTCAGCTATAATCGGCAGAAACAGCCTTTGCAATCTTTTAGTTGCAAAAAAGTTAAAAGTCTGAGGTGCAAGACCAGAATGATTAAAAGGGTCACAGAATAATCAGTTTAAGAAAAACTGCTATCTGGATATATATTGTTTTGAAGAAGGGCATTAAAATAAGGATGAAAATCAGAAGAATGAACAAGAAACGGGCAGTTTGTGACTGTTGACTGACTATGTTTTAAAAAGCCAAAGAAGCTGCAAAGGTGTAATCACACGTTCCCCTTCACTGTGTTTGCCCTTGGACAAGCACCAAGGAGGGGAAGGCAGAGCTAGCAGAGCACCAGAAGGTATTGCTCTACCAGGGCCACGTGTGAAGTGGCTGCAGCAAGCTCCCAAAGCACCTCCTGTCTCCACAATGCTATTGAACAGCAAACCCTTGAAGCCACCTATCGGGTTAGAAACTGGTAAGAGCGCTTGAGCTTCCCCAAAAGGCTGAGGAGTTCTTGGAAGCATGATACTGAAAGAGGGTCACACACTTTATACTATATGGCAAGTCCTGACTGTCTTTCTTAGTTTGTCCGAGGCTACACTTACATGTACCTAAACATGATCAGGTCCAGAGAAAACACTGAGCTTTCTCTCAAGGTAGTGAACAAACATTGCCTCGTACAAGCCAAGATCCTCTTATTTGTTTCCACTCTAAGTAAGTAGTACTGCAAGCAGCATGGATTTTATTTCATGTATTTCCCCAGAGAACACCCACGAAAAATCTCATGTATTATACAGATTTACTATGTTTGCAAACAAAGAGGATGGGTGAATAAACCTATCGTGCTTCACGCAGCATGAACAATTCTTTCACGAAAGACAGGAAATGTATCCAAATAGATCCACAGAGACTTGAAATACTCCCAAGAATAACCCTAAACAGGCCTCTGCAATCCCCTACGGTTCTGTAGGAAAAGCTTCAATTCACCCAGAAAACACAGGTCTGAATGACACTGCTTAAACTGACACACTAGAATGGCTAAAGACTCCAAAACTCTGCAAAAGCCTGAACTCTGCTTTGATGTGCTGACTATAACCTTGAGGGACCTCCCTGCAGACTCTTCGTGGTAAAAGCTGTTCATGCTCCTAAGAATGCATGCTGGTGATGTTTTTTGTTACAAAAGCTTATTTAAAACGAGTTGCTGCTTGCAAAGCCAGTCTTTATTGCCTCCTGAGATAATGTCAAAAAAAGAGCACAGGCAAAGTGTGATGCATGTGCAAAGTGCTGGCAGCCATCATAAATGCTGGTGCTGAACACAACACAGGCCTCACTGATAACAAAACTTGCATCAGAAGTTACTTATCTTGTGGCTCCAAAATGAAAGCATCAAGTACCATGCATGCAAAATATATCCCAACTTAAACCTAATGCTCCATTTAGTTTCTTGCTCAGCTGAATTTAAAATCTCCAAGGAAACTAAGTCATTTTTGCTATGGAGCTAGAAGCACTAAGGAGGGGGAAGGGGGCAGCCTGGCTGAACAGTTTTCTTATACATTTTGAGAGTTATCTCCTCCAAAGATTGCAAATCAAGTTTCTTCACTGGGCTTGCATATTTATAAATTACTTCAATTACTTCTAGTTCCATACCAAGTTGTCACTGTGTATGCACAAGAAATACACTTTTTTTAAAGTGTGGAAGAGCCCCGAAACAAACAAACAACAAAAAAGTATCCTCAGGAATACTTCTTTCAGTTGGAATAAATGACTGATAGAACAGAAAATTACAAGAAGTTTCAAACTACGTTTCAAAAGGAAAAGCAAAATAACTGACCTACATCAGTTTAGGATAAGCTGGAAAGCCCTGCCAACTGGTCATGCACCGAAGACAACACCAGAAAGACAAAAATAGTGATTAAAATTATAATTTTCAAAATTTAACGGCTAACTGCAGCAACTTTCCGTGCTTTAAATTCTGACTTGTCTGTCTGGGTTGGAAACAGCCTAGTGGCACAGCCTTAAAGCAGTGGGAGAATGTCAGCAAGGAACACTAACATCATCTCTGGAAAAAATCCACTGTACCTCACCCCTGTGGGCTGACTCAGAGCCCTACACATACTCCATGCAAAATGAGGCTTAGAGGACACAATCTCATGCTGAGGAATAAGTTGTGGGTGGCCTGCATTGCAGGATTATTTGACTTTCAGACTTTTGAACTCCCCTGTGGCATTTAATTAAAAAGACCAACTCCCACTTGTGGAAGTGAGAGTGAATTCAAACTGTTTCTGAAGTTTCTGAAGTTTGAAGTTCTGAAGGAAGTGAAGTAAGGTTGTGATAAAATCAGAGAAGAAAAAAAAACAAAAAACCAAAACAACAAAAGCTAAAAGCAATCTACAAATATACATTCAGCATAGCCACATATTTATTGCTTTCTGCTCTATATAGATGTCATAAACACATATTGTGATATTTGCTTTTTGCAAGTGTTAAGATGAATATTTGTTAGAATAGTTTTTACTGTCTTTTTCTTTTTTCTCCTGCTGGTAGCTAAAAAGTTTTTAGGTGTAGGTCAAGAAGAAGTTTGGACGTTAGGGTTAGGACCTGTCTGTACAAAGCAAGATAACCTCCAGTGAACAGATGGTGGGGCCCAGGCTGCTGATTCCCTGCAGAAGAAAGAACCCCAGCCCAAATAAAAATATGATAAAAGAGACATTAAAACCTAAAAAGGCAGACCCAAGGAGTGACCATGAAGAACAGTACCTGGAAAAGATTGAACATGCATAAATCCATGTAGCAGGGGATGGTATATAAAGGGCATTTCCACAACACCAGGTGTGCCCTTGGCAGAGAGACAAGCACCCGGCCGTTTTAACCCTTTGTTTTATTATCTTTGTCTCCTAATTGTCTTTTTGTTTATATTAAACCTTTTAAAATTTATTAGGCGAGTGAACCTCATTTTTCACATAGCTGTCATAGCTCAGATATGCACCTGGAATGAGATCCAGGATTTAATACTTGTTTGGGAAACATATTTTACAGTTATGTTATACTTTATTAAGTATTTACAGATTTTTTTTTCTTCTTGTTTAACTGAAAATATTCAGTCTTTAATTCTCACAGGGGTACCATTTAATTTTCCTGGAAATACCTCCCAAAAGCACTATTCCAAAGCCATTTCTGTCCCCACTAAAACGTGGCTGTCTCTGTTGCTTCACCTGCATAAAACAGAAAGGCAGAAAAATTTCACAGCTTATTAACCAGTAATGTAATGTCATAGCCAAGTGCTGTAGCAAAGTCAGCCATGTAAAGAAGCAAATAGACCCAAAGCAACTGCAGGGTTCAGAAATCTTGAAAAAAAGCTGGAAATAAAACATCAAAATTATATTCTTTCCTAAGACAAATGCAGCACTGCACTGAAATAGGAACAGGAAAGAGAATACAATAGGAAAGTTCTACATTATACACTTTAACAAAGTATGCAACCTTACAAGCATTTTTAATTAAGTTAATGTCCTGTATGTATCACTGAACCAATCCATTAAATAGTAAGTTTCCACATCTGGTAGTAGCCAACAATGAAGAGTAATGAGGTGGAGGGGGGAAGAGGGAAGAAAAAGAGCCAGCTATAAGAGAAAATGAGAGTTAAAGCTTGCATGTTCATTCTGATTAGATCCTCAGTTACTGGACAATTTCTCTCTTGGATCATACATAGACACGTGGGTAATGCACAAATGGGTTAATTGGTCTGATGCATGCCTTCCAATCTAGACATGTTTTAAGACCTCCAGTCCATTGCAAAGATGGGAACTAGACCAATTTCTTGCATTACTACAGTTCCAAGTGGGCAACAGGTAGCTCTAAGTTCTTTGAAATTTTTCTATCAGGTACAAGTAAGATGCTAATGATACCCAGAAAGAAATGTAGGGAAAGATTTCAAAGCTGCAATTAGAATTCATAACTTTCTCAGAAAAGATTAATAAACAATTGGTCCAAGACTACTTAAGCATAGAGATATTAATATTCCAGAGAACCTGCAGATTTGAGATGTCCCACATAGTACTATGGTTTTATTTACAAGCAGCTCATGAAAAGTTGTAGATTTCAGAAACACTGTACAGATAAGAATGACAAGGATCAGGATGCTGCAAGAATAATAAAATAGAGCATTAATTATTGCAAGACACTGCTGTAAAGGCAGTGTAGCAACCTGCTAGACTGAGATAAGTAACTGATTAACAGTTTCTGAAATCTGATCTCAAATTTCGCAGTGGAAACAATGAAGGGAAACTCCACCAGGTTTTTTTCCAGCTGGGTAAGTGTGTCAATGACATCTCTAAGGAGACCTCGAAGTTTAGCAGTAACAGGCAAAGAATCTTGCCCAAAAGTCTTGAGAAGGGATGGAATATTATGAAGTGATTCACTGAACTGGGTTGTTGACTAGGCATGTAATTTCCCCATATCCTTAAATGTTATTTTTCTAATGTAGTATTTGAACAATGAGATAATTCCTGATCTTGAACAACAGAAGCTTTTGCCTCAGGGGAGAGTATCTTAAATTTTTCTGCCCAGGAAAATGAGCACTTTCTTGCAGTATGTCTATAAGACCAGCTGAAACCAGGACATTACCTAAAAAGAAAAAACACCAATTTGCTGAAGTTGAATAAATAAAAAACAAAACCAAGAGGTACTGAATTGTTCTGTACTTACATCATAAACCTGGGGACTTGTCAGACAGCGGGCTATCAGGCCACACCAGCTGGGCAGTGTTGTGGTCAATGGAGGGCCACTGTGAGTGAGAATTGGCTTTAAATAACTTAAGTAGTTAAGGAAAACACACCAGTCCTCAAAAACCACTTTTGAAAATAAAGAGACAATTGTACATAAATGTGGTTCTGCCTTTAAACTGTGATATGCAATAATTGTACACCCTCCCAACATTTTCCCCTTGATTGTTTCAAGGGCAGTTTCTTTACTCACTAAACTTCTGCAAGGACCACTAGCTAACTTTCTTCTTACATGTTTCAAACAGCTGCAATGTTTCCAGCTTCTGTGCTCTCAAGTAAAAAGGAGAAAGCAAAGGTGCTTCAGTGTTGAAAGGTCCGAGGGTATTTCTGCTCAGAAGATGGGAGCATGGTGTCAAGGTTGCAAGCTATAGGTAGCAAGGTGACATTCCTGTGTGGCTCAGTATAGGGAAATACAGAAATTCTGTCCATTCAACATCCTCAAAGCAGTAAAGCCACTTGATCTGCTGGTTACTGAGCCACAGAGGTGCAACCAGAGATATTACCCCGGTAATACCCACAGACATTTCTGCAGTGCGCATACATTTACCACATGGAGCCTCAGAAAGGCAAAGGGAAAACTGTATGCAAGAACAATGCAGTGTTGAAGGAAAGCAGTGCTACCAAGATGACACCGAGGGGACGTGGCCACGGGAAAGGAAAGTGTCTTTACTCCTATTTTACAGGCCTGTGCCCAGGTAAATCCACACTTTTCACATGAGTACTCCACACTGATGATATGCCTGAAAAAAATACCCAAGAGTCAAAATACGTGTCTGTGTTAAAGAGCAGCATGTTGATCTTGACTAGCACATGAATCAGTCAATTTTATTTTAAATACAAATATATAAGTTGCAGGGTTTCTAGTTACTTTCTTAGGCCTCTAAGCACAGAGAGAATCAAGTCCATTTGTAAATATAACAGCTTCCCTCCTAACCCATTAAGATGCTTAAGCAAAGAGGGGGTTAAAAGGGGACTGTTTTAGCAGTGCCTGGCATAGCTGTTTATTCCAGCAGAGTTACATTTCCTCCTTTCCTCCTTCACTAAAAGTGCGGTTACACCCATTCCTGGAAAGAAACAAGCTCTTCACCCTTGCACTAACCCAGGCTCCATGTGACCCAGGCCAGACAGGCAGCAACTCAGCCATGAAAAAACAAGCCCAGTTAAAGACATCTGCTACTTCATCAAAGCTGAAGTTTTCTCCATATTTAACAGTTATGGGTGAACCCAAGGAACAGCCCACAACATTAAGTGAACTCTGCATTCTACAGGAATGAAGTTCCCACTTATCCATGCGTAGAGCTCTGCAGGCAATAGTGAGCTGTGGAGCTTTTCCATCACTTACTCACATCTTTTTCAAGTTAAGCCCTCTTGCAAAGAGTGAATTTTGAGACTATCTGCCTTTCTACCCAGAAACCAAGTGAATGCACCAGCAAAAAAAACCATGTAGCCATGGATATAGAGGCGGCAATTCTAAAGGTCTTCCCATCTGTACAATTTAAGCCCACCCAGCCAATGCTTATTTGAATGCCTTCTTCCAACAGAAGGAGCAAATGTTATCTCTGCCTACAGTAAGACAGTTCTGCCTCTCAATGTCAGATTCCTTGGCACAAACTTCACAGAAACTTTTCCTAAATATTGCTAGTCACCACTGGGAAAAAAAAAAAGGGAATGTACTGTCAGGACCCTTTAAGTTTCTGTGAAACAGGTAGTTAGGGTGTAATTTTCTCCGGGCACTCCCCCCGCCTTTGCTGCAGCTGCTAGGGAGGGACTGCTCTCTGAAGCATCAGCTGAGGGAAGTCAGCATTGCCAACTACTCCTTTCATCGGGCACATCCCTTCTGTAAAGGCAGGGGAAGAGGACAGCTCTGCTTCCTTCTTAAAAAGACAAAAAAGAAGCAGTCAGCCACAGCCAGATCCTTTCATGCTTCTAACACCAAAGTCTCTCTCTCTTTTTTTAAATAATAAAAATTGATCTTGAGGCGCTTCGAGACCAGTCACTAGAATTTGAAGAGTTAATGTGGAATTATGAACATTTATGAATATTTAAAATAGCAAGTACACTCCCTTCTGTGCTTTGGGTCAGTACTACTGCATCTGAAAGCATTGGTCACAAACAGAATTTATCCTAAAGATGGAAGTGCTATTAGGATCCAAACATTTTCAACATGCTAGCTGGGTTAGCCTGGGTGTGAAAGCCTCATGCACAAGGTGTGGAAGGAAACTACTGTGCTTCAACCAGCCCAGAAATCTTTCATCATTCAAAGGCCAAGACCCCAGTGAAAAGACTCACATGCCAGCTGCAAGAACATTAGGGCCCTATCACTGGTCATTGTGTATAGTTAGCTGCCCCCGAAATTACTAGGAATTCAGCATTGAAACTTTTTTGGGTTTCTAGGTGTAAGTGATTTGCCATGGCCACAGGATTATCTTTGCCATTTTCCGCTAAGTGACTGTGTAAGCTGTTGAGGAGGAGCAGCTGTGACATACTTAATGTGTCATAATTGATGACATACTGATTAAGTTATTAATCAGTATTAAGTTATTAAGTAGATTTTTTTTAAAAAAACCCAAACCCACAAGCATGAAATACAGGACAGCTACACAAAAGTTGCTCAGAATCTTAAACAAGGTTATCTAAATAGTATAATAATAGCTTCAGAAAGGTTGTACAGTACTATATACACTCAGAGACTCTGCTTTAACACCCATAGTACCTTCTGGATATATTTAAGGAGGTAAGCTGGATCTCATGTAGATTTTTAGTTCCAGAACTTTCCCTTTAGAAATCAACCACAGATTTTGGGACTTCATCACAAAAGCAGATGGCTCTGCAGAGCAATGAGTCGAGGCTTAGACATGTACAATGAACTGGAAACTTAATTTCTGCTATGAGCATCATTGAAAATAAGAACAGATTAACAGAACAAACCAGAGGACCTAAAATAGTTAATTGTCTGCCTTGTTGTTTAGGAAGGTACTTGATCTCTGAGTGGTTTCTGTTCTCCAGCAAGTGTCACACGCCCTGTGCTAGGGAAAGGAAAGGTCTGACTGCTGAGCCAGTGAGTTCCAGCTTCAGTTCTGTGCCTTGAGCCCGTCAAATACTTGAGAGTCAAACAGGAGGAAGATCAAGTGCTTAAGGCTACATATGGGTACATGGAAAGGGAAAAAGTGAACATTTCATGCCTTAAAACTAAGCTGTGTTCAAAAGGATACTTATGATCAAAGCTATACCACAGCCTGAAGAGCCAGGCACTTTCCTGCTTTGTCCTGTTCCTTCGCGCAGAATCTTGGCCATCCTAAAAATAAGATAGAAACATATTCAATTACTTCAGGCAGAAAAACACAGAACTATACCCTCTGATAATTCATAATATAATGTCCTGTCCAAAAAAACCCACCAAATTACATCAATACTGTGCTCGAAATGCAGAAGAAAGCCGTTTAGAGACTTGCTTATACTGAGTTTACTTTCCCTAGAAAGACCAGAAATGACTACAGAGAACTACATTGTCTTCATTGCATCCAATTTACTTTAACAACTCCTCTACCAGCAAGTTCCCTGGAGCTTAAAATTTTATGTCACTCTTAGAATAGTAACAGATAGAAAAATAACTTCCAAACTGATAAACAAGCCTCACTGATATTCCAAGACTGATTCCTATTTATTTCTTGGTTGGCTTCCTTAACTCTAGGTCTAGGTCTAACTCTAGGTTTGATGGTTTTTTCTTAAGCGTGGAAATTACCATATCTGATAAATTCTCAGAAATCTGATAAAATATATCACATTTAAAAGAAACATGCTCAGCAGAGAATCCATATAAAGATGACAATTGAGGGAGGTCATGCAAATCTCAGAAATGCTGAATCAACCTTGAAAGGGCTAATAGTGTTAAATATAATCTCTTATCTAGCTGTGCTGCAAATCATCACACCAGCTGGTCTGCAGCTGCATTTGTTTTTACTTTTGTTAGTTTAGGGTTTGAGTGTTTTGCTTTGTGTTTTTGTTTTGTTGTTTGTTGTTTGGATGGGGGGGGGGGTTGTTTGTGGCCAGAGGCCAGAGTTAAACACAGGAAAACAAATGAATGCCTTGTATGAATCATCTTCCAAACTACTGGAAAAGAACAAGACAGGATTATGCTGTGTACTTCTGACCTGCAAAAAATCCATGATCCACCAAGAGTAAAACCTAATACATTTTCTCTCCCTCCCCCTCCCAAATGATATATTTTCTTTAACTGTGACATACTGCTAATCTTGGCTTGGTGAAAGAAAGATGAATCCAAAGGGAACTGACTAATGGACTACATTAGCAATGCAATGCACAGCTAAAGAGGGAAACAAATGGGTAAGTTCTTTATGTTTACATGGGAAAAAACAAACATGATATTTCCACAGCAGACACTGACTGAGAACAGAATACCCATGCCCTGTTTCCTGTTAAAGCAATTCCTCAGTTACTGACAAGCTCAGTCTGAACTGGCCAAAGCCGTCTTTCCACGATACCACTTCCTAACCTCGGTTATATGCAATAATTGTGGCCTTCTCTGTAAAAGGTTTGGATTTTTGATTGCTTCCAGATAGTTACAAAACAAAGTTCACCCTCACTGGTAGCCAGCTCCACCATTTCAGCATCTATTTTGTGTACTGGACACAGGCTTTTGCAAAGAACACAGAGATGCCAAGTGCAGTTTCTGAAATGAAAGAGATGCTTCCTGGGCAAGTATCTCTTACCTGTACAACATGTAACAAGAAAAGAAAAGAAAGGATTGGAAAAAAACAAACAAACAAACAAAAAAAAACCAAAAAAGACCCAAAACCCTACAAAAAAGACCCAAAAACAAAAACCCACAACCAAACAAAAAAAAACCCAAAAACAAAACCCAAACCAAAATGAAATAAAAAAACAAGGCAGGAAAAAACACTATGAGAAAAAGTAATCCCAAATACATTCATCTATCTCTGACCAGCCTGAACACCAGCATCATCATACAACACTTGTTCCCTAAGCATCCTCTAGATCCAAAGTTACCTGCCATTCAACTTCCTCAAGTAGGTGCCTACCTAAGAACCCCAGCTGTGCTGCTGAACAATCAGCATCAAGCAGAACTCTGCAAGAGTGCAAACCAAGGTCTGGACAGAGGAAGCTGCCAATTAAACCTGAGGAATTTTTGAGTTGTTTTGGTTTTTTTTCCAGATCTTTCCCTCCTCCTGTGAATCAACTCAAGTTTACAGATGAGCAAAACTGAAAATTCTGCTATGAACAGCATTCTTCTAACAATCTTGTTTGCCAATAGCACATTTCAGGGAAGAAAAGTCAACTCTTGGGCTGTTACTGATGCATGGAAAGCTTCACTAAAGATTCACAGCAATAGTTTGCTGAATACAAATGACAATTTGCCCATGCTCCTTCTGCTTCACCCAGGTGATAGGTAGTCCAGGCAGGATCCTGCTGGCATGTGGTTTGGTATACAAGAGTCAAGATCAGATTAGCAAATTTAATCTTGGATTCTAAGTAAGTCCAAGGATCAAAATTTGGTATCAGTTAAGGAAGAGGTGCAAAGAGTATTACCTCTTAACTGAGAAGAACTATTTATGCAGTAGCATGCTAAGAGCAAGCATGTTGGGTAGGTGGGGAAAGAGGAAAATGCATTGTTATATAGACCATATTAGTAGATTTGGGAAGGTTTTTGATGCCCTATCTGTACACGGAAACATGACCACAACAGTGTTACACCCAAAAGCACTGAATGTTTTTCAGTGGGCATTACTTGAATATTGCAAAGCAAAATCCCCTACTGACTTGCCAGCTAGGAGAGAAAGGTTTTATCCATGCATACAACTTCTGCAGTTTTCTATTTTCTTAGTTATAAAATAAGATTAGCCTAATAGCAAAGTTATGTAATTACTTACTCCTTGTAAGACTTGAAAGCTGTCATTAGTAGGTGGAGGATCCTGATCTGGGTCAACCCCAACCCTACAGGAACATTAGGAAAACAAAGCAAGAGGTGTTACTGAGGGTTGCAAATGCTATAAGTCTGGCAGAATGCATTTTAAAAGCACTTTAAGCACCCAGCAAAGCTGCAAGAGAGGTTATAAGAATAGATTGAGGAAGAGCTGTCCATTACTAACCTGCAGTTACATAGCTATAAATAAGATACTTTTTCACTCAAGAAACTGCTTTAACTCTGTGTTGGCATCAACTTTAACTGCTTACCTTTGCTGCCAATTTTTTTAGAACAATGGTAAATACTATTTCTGCCTTAAAAACTAGATGGCATCCTCTTCAGTGGAGAGCATCCCTCATGTCCAGCAGGAAGGAAACATAAACTAAAGATAAGGCCCAGCCTAAATATTTGCCACAGCAAATAACTGCCAGATAAACCCAAGAATGGCTGAAATACATTATTTTAAAATGACACACACACACTATGTTTTAATGCACTATGGGAAACGCAAAAAATATTTTATAAAGGGTCACAACATTAATTTGCTTCAAGTTTCATTCACCAAGCATAACACAGCCACAGTGGGCTAACAAGTGGCCTGTAGTCCAGCCTTCCATCTGAGTGAGGCAGGGTTTGTGTACCAAGATGGTGGGTGTTGACAGGATAATATGTTAAGAAGAAACTGTCTGCTCACTTTTGCATAGTTAGAAAGCATCTTATTACTGAACCATCCTTGCACACAGGGCTCCTAGCCAAGACTGGCATTTAATCCTTGTAATTATGTTCAGGTTTTTCTCATCTGGTTTAGGGGTAGACTGGACTTGTCTATTTTATATCCTATTCATGTCCTGATGTCTGTCATCTCTCGTAGAACCTAAACCTCCAACCTCAAAATTTAGATAAGATTCTCAGTCTCAAATGGGTTGTATTTCAGTTCCACCACGTTGCAAAACAAGTGTGGGAAAACACATGCAACAGCCATTTCAGACAATAAGATTTTGTTAATGTCATCACTTCTCTCTTAGAAGGGACTGGTTTGCTGCAATTTCCTTGTTACTTGGACTTCTTGTCAGCTATTTATAGCCATGGTGTTTATGCAACAGTATGAATCACCAGAAACCAAGAGAACCTTGCTGGTCAGACCATATCATTGATTTGTCCCAGGGATACCATGCTTGGATCAAAATAAAAAATAAATTAAAAAAAAAAAAAAAAAAAAGAGAACACTTTTATACAGCTTCCAGGGCAGCATTTTTTGAGGGAACAATAGAAGAAGAAAAGTTTTAAGTCATCCTTGTGGACTCACATGAGTTAATGTAGTTCAGGGAAAACCCAGAAAGCTGCTCTGCAGCAGCCTCCTATAAAACTAGTGCTGACCCAGTCCTTTGCTTGGATTTTTTTTCTTTTCTTCTGTGCCTCTTGTTCTTTCCTCATCACTTCTTTTTCCACATATAGAGTCATCTCAAACTTTAGGCACATTTAGACTGGAAATTCCTTGGCACTGACCAGCCTCAGAACTGAAAAGCTTTACCAGTTTAAAGGAACACACGATAGACTGATTGGGTACTGGATTTGTAACACATGCTAAAATAAAACAGCACACACAAGAGCTCTGGGAGCTTACAAGGGCTGAGATGTAACTGCTTTGGCTATCACTACATAAGAACAGGTTTTGGCAGGGAAACTGGTTATCTAATCCAGAAAGCCGACAAACAACATCAGGAAACTGACTCAGTACAGTAATATATGTATATACATGCATTCCTTTATAGGTACACATGAAAATAAAAGAAAAATATTTATGGCTTTCAAAACTGCACCTGGGGGAAGGTCCAGCTCATGTTGGCTGTGTGAATGGGGAGTTCAAGAAGCTTGTTCCAAAAGATGAGCATAGCTTGCATTCTCCAAATAGTTTTTATTCCCTGGGCTACCTAATCACTTCACAGTACATAAGAAAACCAAACAATTCAGTGTCTCATCTTTTACTTGACTTACAAGGTTTGCATTTGTTTTGTGGATTTTAGCTGCCCTTAGGCAGGGGAATGGGACTTAATTGAAGTCCAAAGGCATGAAAACCACACTGTTCAGTGAAAAGTCCTAGTACATCACAGACCAGGAATTTGGGTTCACTGTTGTGCTGAAGAGACAAAGAAAACTTTTCTATATTAAAATGGTTCCAATTTTAGGAAAAAAAATCATACTACAGATGTTCCTTTCAATATTGAAATAGTATATCCACACAGACTTGTCCATTCAATTTATTTCCAAAGTTATTCTTCAAATTAATTTCTATTTTGAATACTGATAATTCATGCTTTTCCATAAATCACATTTTTTTTAAAAATTCACTCTCAAAGTCTGTTCCTCAGTTCAGAGATTAACACCAAATACATTTCCATTTTGAATTCCCACAACTAATTTTTATATCTTTCAAACAATGTGCTCTTATCCACTACCCTAGCATCAATTGTACAGGAAGCCTTACTTTTTGGTAGCAAGCCTGCCTGCTTAAGTTTCAAGGTTAAATACCCTGATCTCATGACAAGCATCACTTTTTTTTTTTTGTAGGCCCAGCCCCTAGAATTCTAAGAAAGTGTCACCTTTATGACTTGAAATAAAACAATACCAAAAACCAATCAAGTCTGTCCCTACCTCCTTTACAGTGAAAAGCACAAAAAACATTTAGTTACTTCACCCTTGCTTAACTACTTCAATAATTAAAAATATGAGTAAAGCTAATGCATGTATGTCTTCAACACTGATTTTCTTCTTATGCTGAAGAGAAAAAAAAAATCAATTTCATGTGCTTAATATATTTTAAAAGCTTCCTGCAATTTAAACGTGCTGCAAAGGTCAATAACAGCTCTCATTTACTTAGCCTGTTTTATAAATTAAACTGTTACTGGATGGATTTACACAGATCCCCTCCCAGAGGTCAGTGGCACAGAGAGGGCAGCCTGGCTAAAGGCTGGGCTGTTTTGCTCAAGCCCCATAGCAGAAAGGCAGGGTGAAAAAAGCGCTTTATTCAAGAGGCACCTCTGTGATGGGGACTGAATGGCACAGCAGATGTGGCACAGCCAAGGCCAAGGTTGTGCAGATGCCAGCAAGCATCTTTGTTTTCCCCTCCACTCTTTCTGAGAGCCCTTTGCAGCAGTTGTGTGGGGATTCCCCAAGGCTGTAAAAATAAGTAACTCTTTAAAAGAAGATCTCAGATGAAGAATATGAGCAGTTTTTCAGCTGTGACAATGCATGTGTTTCAAAATTGGTGAAAAATACATTTATTTCCCCCATTGGAATCACTTTGGTATATGATAGACACCTTATTCCTTCAGTACAGACAGTTACTAGTACATAAAATTCAGACGTCTTTATTTCAGCTTTGGAAAGTCATTGGAATCTGTAGACAAGAGTATGCTATAGTAAAAATCCAACTTAAGTGTATTTCTTCACTCCCCCCTAATGAAAACTTTTCTTTTAAGGCAAAAAAGGATTTAAGATCTCTGTAATAGCAAAGGGACTGGTCTGGAGCTCCTAATGCCCACTGCCAACACACAGCATTTCTGCCCTTAACTGAGTCCTGGACTTCTTGGTCTTTACCCTACAGCTACAACTCCAGCATCACAAGTAGGAGAGAAGCTACTCAGATTTGATCTCTCAAAACATTAAGCTTATGTATAATTCAGTAATTTAAACAGTGTGGGAGAAAGTGGTTCACACACAAAACTGAACTAAGTGGATGGAAATGAACAGTAAAAAGGCATACAGAACTACATCAAGTTCTCTATTACATCATTGTAAAATGGGTGGAATAATTTCTTCTGATACTTCAGAAACTTTTCCAGGGCCCTACAACACATAGATGACAAGTTACCAAAATACCAGGCATTATTAGATTTAGCATGTGTAATTACTATGGTAACAGCCAAGAACGACTGTAATAGTTAATAGTTCTCAGATTGTCTGTACAAACTAACACATTGCATCTCTGTCAAATCCAGTAGTTTGCTGAAAACCCTTGAGTGTGACAAGGTAATGAAAACTTTCCATTGCCTCATCCCAAAGAGCTTTCTTTACATAAATATTCTGTTTGTTTTTATATACACACACACACATAAATACACATCCCCTATAGATGATATAGTTAGAGATTTATCTTATTTTCAATTCTCTCTCTAACCATTTATCTGTTCTAAAAACACCAAACCAGAATCCTACTCTTCTCTGTTTGATATCTCTGTTTTTAAAAATATATCCCCAAAGAAGCTGGGCTAAATCATCTAGGAAGCTCCTTCCAACCTGAAAAGTTGTTTCCTCAATCTCAAGCAATGCTGAAGAATACCTTTGTGATTAAAGATCAGAAGATCAAATCCATAGTTTTCAGCTCTCAAGTCTTCCAAGGCCAGAGATTCAAGTTTTGCTTTATTAAATATTTATACACAGAGTGAAAGAATATGTTTTATAGTTTCATTTTTTTAGATATGATGTGTGATCCACATTCCCACAGCTCAGGATAAGTGAATAGACTCAGAGTGAGGAACACCTGCAGCACTCTCAGAAAAGAAGCAGCAGCAGCATGCCACAGTATAGAAAAAGAGCACACACTCAGTGTTACAAAGATGAAAAAAGCCAAGCACCAGGTTAATGTGGTATCAAGGAAAGCACAGTGTCACCTGAAATACAGCCAGTGGCTTTCACTCATCTCTTCCACCGATGGAACATGGTCACCAACTCTGGTATAGCACAAGAATGCAATGTGAGTAACAAAATGCTCATAAGATGGGAGCTCTACAGAGTTCTTCAGCAAAACAAAGCAAACCAACAAAAAAAAAAAAAAACATACCAAATCAAAAAAGACAAAACATATATGAACAGCAGTGGCAGAGCAACGACAAAGTGACCAAAAAACCAAAATTAGCAAGAGCAGCAATGTATGATTGACATATCCAGTAACATTCTTCATTTGTTCAGATCCCAACTGGCAACATATCTGTATTAATGACAGACTACATCCCCCAGAAAACCAGGTTCAGTAGCTCTCTTTGGTGCTGCACACAGACAGAGCCAATCTAAGACAACTCCTACCACTTCAGACCTGCACATGGTCTGAAAGAGAAAGAGACATCACAGGAAGTAGTCATGAGAAGCTACACATGTATGAGAGGGGTCATCCAATACTGCCTGCTTTCAGAGCACTCCAAACCAACTGGTAACAAGCACTAAATCGCTCCATTGCTTTAACTAAAAATTGACTCTCCATTTTTGATTTAATCTCCAGTCATAACAGAGTCTGTTTTTCAGTTGTGTTTGTGGGGTTTTCTTTTTAGGTGCAAATGAAAGCATTTTTGACTTCCAGTATTTTTCACATATATTTCTTAACAGTCTGTGGGGTTTTTTTCCCCTATATTTTTCCACAGGCAAGGTCAAGAACTATATATTGCTTATGTGAAATAAAAGCCCAGATGATCAGAAATACACAGAGGCCTCACTTTAGAAAAAGCAGGCGCACACACCCTGGTTGCATGCTGACATCTTGACTAACCAAATATTTAAGGCTATAGCTTGTGATACGAGGAGCATGTACCCATCTAATCCTTGAATATTGAGGCAAATACCAGACTTCAGATAGCTTTGTTTTGGACTCCATGTTCAATAGCTCTTTTCCCATGCCAACATATACTCCAGGTCAGAGTACTCTGCTCCCCAAGGCCATCACTGAGATGGTTCTGCATGCACAGCAAAAACTAAAATTAAAAACTGCCCAATAACTTCCCTTCTATGACTTCTTCCTCTTTCCTGTATCTTTGCCAAGTTAGTATACTAAAGTTTTCCCAGATGTCTGTAATGAGTGCAGCATTTTTGGAAAATTTTAGTTATTTTGGAAGAGTTCAGTAGTTTCTCAGAAGATGTCTGAGAAAGAGGAGAACTCCCATCACCACCATGTTTTTAAAAAATTAAAACCCAATCCCTAAAAACCTATGGAATTAGAAGAAGTTGTCTCAGGTTGTTTTTAGGATGCTTTTGGATCTTTTCTGACTTCACTTAACTAAGACAATGACTCCTGAAACTGCTGGCTAAGAATTGCCAGTTCAACTCATATCATCTGTGTGCTGCAGATGTGTGTCAACCCAACTGCTACAGTGCCTTCCCCACACTTTTTCTCTGTGGTGTGAATTGCTGTGTTTCAGAGAACAAGAAGAGAGAAAATGAAGCATCTTCCATACTGACTTCCAGAGGAAGAGGCAATCTCTTTCCTACCAAGGGTAAGCCCCAGAGGGGAGAGGCCAGAGGCCTGGAGGCAGCACTGCCACTCCACTACTAAGGGAAATTCAAGACCAATGATGAATAACTAGAGACTGGGAAAGAAGGAGGAAGAACAGAAAAACTAGGGAAAGACAACTAGACAGAAAGAGATGGGCAAGGAAAAAGCCCACGGCGAGGGCAAGGGACAGCCCCTGTGTCTGTGCATGTGCCTTCAAGGGCAGTAGAGGGTGGCTGAAGGCCACAGTGAAGGATCTAAGTAATACAATAATGGAAACAGGCTGCAAAGCAGGAGGATGCAACCTCCTATCAGACATCCCCCACCTCATGGAACATAGCATGAGGCTGGATCCCAGCATCAGCACTCGCCTCCTGCCATCCCAGCACTCTCAGGTATGAAACGCACATTTTATCATCGCACCACCATGGGTAAGGGAATGGAGTATGTGTTGGAGCAAGCCAACACTTTCACCACCATCACAGATAGTTAGGTAGCCCACAAAGCAGCTGGATGAGTTAATATTTCCACATTTCTTTTTCAGTTTGCTCTTTTACAGAAAAATAGAAATTGTTAAATAGTAAGCTCTTTAAAGATTTTACATGCAAAGTCAGACATAAGGCACTAAATGTCTAAGTTGACATTGTCTGTGCAACCTTTAGCTTTTATGGTAGAAAGAAACCTAAATAATTTTAAAGTGTAAGGTATAATGCTTTCGGATTAATAAAAATGTTTCTAAGTATAACTGAAATGACTTCATTAAAATAAGCAATAACTTCTGCATTTGCAGCAGGTTATGGAGAGGAAGGCACTAATCCATGTGCTGCTTCATTCAACATGAAAAGAACCAGGTCACTAACCTCTAATCAAAAGTGGAAAACACATTGTTTTGCAATACAAATGCTAGGAGTTCCCTCTTTTTTCCTGGGACAGATAAATGAAACAAGAAGTCAGCTGTTTGGCTTTTTTTTTTGAAAAGAGGAATTTTGCCAGTAGTTTTGTTTACATAGCTCTCAAGTTTGCTGAAACTGTTAAAGCTTCAGCCAGGAAATTGTTTCTTTGTTTAGGTCTTAAAGGATGAGATTATACTTTTAATATTCAGGTCATGCTTTAGCTTCTAAGAAAAAAATCTACTACTAGAAAATATAACTGTTTACCACTCATATGCTTGGATGTGTTTCACTGACAGTCAGCCAAGGAACTCTGACACATGATATCATGGCTTTAACTCCAGTTTCTGGTGTTAATTTCCTTGGCGTCAAGTGGCAGAAATCAAAAGTATCTAAAGAGTATCTAAAGATCCTGTTATTTTTTTTACTCAGATTTTGAAGTTGTGACCTCACTTTTCCAACCAGTTAAGCAGTAAACTGAAGTTAAGCCTTTGTTACAAACCTCAGGTTCTTCACATAGCTGTATATGAAAGCCTTGTCAGTGTCCCTGGTAACCTACCCTATCTGAAAAGATGCCTGCTCATCCCGATATCTGAAACTTAGCAAGAGGAGACAGAGACTTTTTTTGCCTATTTTCCTCCTTATACTGCTTTTTATGTTACCAAAACTTAATTTTCATGCTAGCCTCTCTACCCTACTTCTAATATTTCATATCATGGGAAGGCACCAACAGTAAGTAAAGAACCAAGCATGCATCCCAAACGCTGCACAGCTAACGGTGTGGCCAGAAGGCATGTGCCTCTTCCTCTTGGCCTCAGCAAAGCAATTCTGGATCCTGTGTGGGCGCTGCCCCTTGCATGCACACAGCTGCTTCCCCTGAACTCAGTGGTAACAGGCCAGGCTGACACTCCTGGCTGGAGCCAGCTCCCCAGTACAGCCCTACTTAAATCATGCAGGCACCACCTTAAATAAGCCCTTTTGGTTTTGGTGTCTGGCTTGGCTCCTCTGACTCGCCCAGACATGGGCCTTCTATTCACATTCACACTGAAGAAAGGCCAGCTGCTTCATGAGGACTTGGTAATGGCTGACTAGCCTGCCTTTCTTCCTGTTACACCTGGCATGACCTTCACATCAGAACTGGACTCTTAGGAGTCCCCACAAATCCTGACATTTAAGTCCAACATACACATGGCATTAATTTTCTACATCACTTCATCTGGGAAGCAAACAACCTTTTATCTTATAACCTCTCTTCTGCTAAATAATCCTGTATGTGATGACCACTAATTTCCAGCCTCTGACAATCGAATTTAATGGGCAACTACCAAGGCTCAGAAAGCATCCTAGGGACAAGTTATCTACTGCACAGGCTCAGGATGCATCAGCACTATACACTCTGCTGCTGAGCGAGGCGTTGGGACAGCATCTCATCTTCATCGCCTCCTGTTTACCTCTTCCACTCAGTAGAAGGGGATGGAAAAAAGATAACTGGCATAATTTTAAAATTCAGCTGGAAAATAATTTGTTTTGTTTTTAATCTGTAAAATCAGGACCCCTTTTTTTTTTTTTTTTTTTTTTTTTTTTTTTCCCCAGCAGAAAGTGCTCTAGCCACTGAAGGTATCTCACCGGCACCGTTTCTAATTCTCGCTCAGCGGCACACGGCCGCCACCTCCTGGCACAAATCTGATTTCATGGGGTCCCAGAAAGTACAGACTCCATCTCTGGCAGGTCAGTGCCTACCGAGCCAGCTGTAGGCAGACCCGTGGGGCTCTCTAAAATGCTTTTTATGGAGAGTTCCCTTGTTACATGTATTACCCTTCCTTGGACAGGAAAGTTCACCCTTTGTTTCCTGTCAGCCACGCCAAAAAAGTGACTGTTAAAATTACTGCTTACTTGCAAGGTTGGGTAAATCTCCCCCTAAAACTACAGCTAAACACTCGAAACTATGCTTCAGTCAGCTATCTTTTGGTAGTTACTTCTCTAGGAATGGTACCACAGCCTTTACAGCTCTTCTGTCTGGTTGGTCACACTAATGGCTTCTGCAAGTCTAGCCTCCTCGAGGGGTAAGCCTGGAATGGAGATGGGGTTAGTCCTCTCTGCCTGCAGGACCAGCTCATCAGCCAGGCTTATGGAGCCTCACTGCTGAACTAGATTAGCTAAAGGAGGAAGTACATAACCTTGGATGCTTCCTGGTTTCGATGGAAGAGGATGGGAGGAAAAAATGCTGCTACCTCAGAAGGATTTTGCAGTCAGCTGAGGGCTGGGCCACATGCAAGAATTCAGTCCTGTCCTACTGCTTGTGACAGAAGAAGCCCTGGGGTAATGGTTGATTGCACCCAGGGCTTGTAGAGCTCGTATTGTTTTAATTCCCCTCTATTTATCTTTGCCTCCCAAACTTCCAAAACTTCCTAAATTATAATATATATGTCTTTATCAATGATTGATATGTGATTCTCTAGCACATCTCTTGATAAATATTCTCAAATATGGAAGTACATGCAGTCAAAAGTAGTAACTATTAACTAGCATTTGAACTTACCATTTTCACAGATCTCCTCAAAACAGGAGGAAACACACCCTGAAGACCAGCAGGATCCCATTTATCCCAGTTGCTTAAGATAACATCAGGTTTTGTTTAAAGTACATTCAGCTTAGCACCACCCAGTTAGGAATCCACTGAACTTAAAAACCATAACAGGCCCATTATGAAGAGCCAAAAGAAAGGGAACAGTCTTAGTATAATATGAAGTTTATATGGGACTAGATTAATTCTTTCAATATAGAGCTGCTTTATCAGGCAACACTATTCCATATCCTGCTGGACTGCAAAGACCTAGATACCTACTTGCAGGACACCAGAGCACCTTTAGGCTGAATCCCAGCAGCATCAGTTCATTTTCTTCACCAGACTGCACTAGAACCTTCCTCTTTAAAATATCATGCCCTAAATACCTACATATATATATATATATAAAATACCATGTTCTAAATGCTTCTAGCCAGCATCAAGCAAGTCCTGTAGAGCTATGCCAAATGGGCACAGCTGCCTGTTGAAAAGTGAAGTTTCCCCAGCACACAGCTGCATACTGACCTGATGTTCAGCCATGAGAGCATGGGGGTTGTACCTCCACCCACAATCCACACAGTGAAAAACACGATGAGCAGAGTTGTTGAGAACATCATTTGGTGGGAGTAGGTAGCAGTATCTCGTATAGCCAGAGCAAATGCCATGGCTCCCCTGAGACCTATCAGAAAGAATGAAATAACACAGCTTCAGAAGTGCAGCCGTGACTGTGGATAGCACAGCACCTTTCCTTGATCCCTCCTGCAAAATGTCAGGCAGAAAGCACTGAGCTCCAGCAGGTTTTAATTTCCTCAGATTCCCTGATAAATTATGCTCTGAGATAATTTACAACCAAATGTTGTAACTGTCCTGGTTTCTTATAGAATCCACAAGTGCTGTGAAAAGGTGTAAATACTTCCAGAAATTAACAGGAAAGGAAGACAGAAACAAGTTGTGGACAACAGCAAGACATCATGTGAGTCAAGCAGCTCCCTGAATCCAGATGAAAATTCAGACTTTTCTAGTTGAATCCATAATTGAAATGTGAGTTCTTGACATGACGTTTTTATCAGCTAGAAAAATACTCTAGTTAATTACATGGTTACAGGCAGACTGTATCTCTCCTCCTCTCCTCTGCTCCCAGTTATGAAACTTCACTAGCAAGAACAAGCCATGGCATCAGGCCATCTGCAGACTTCTTATGTAAAGGAATCACAGGATGGTTAAGGTTTTAATGAATCCCTGGAGTTCATCTGGTCCAATTCCCCTGTTTTAACAACCCTGCAGTAGGTTGCACAGGACCACATCCAGATGACTTTTGAATATCTCCACGGATACAGATGCCACAACCTCTCTGGGCAATTGTACAATGCTTGGACATAGTAAAAAAGGTTTCCTGATGTTCAAACAGAAAACCTCATGTGTTCCAGTTTGTGCCCATTACCTCTGGGCCTGGCACAGGGCACCACTGAAAACAGCCTGGCTCTATCCTCTTTATACCTTCTTGTGTACAGAGGATTCCCTGCAATTTCTGGAGGATGCACATGTTTGGACACACAATACATAATTTGCCTTACAAACTTAAACAGTCATCTGTGTGACAGAAATTACAAGGCAATTTAAGTCAAATACCTTTGTCCAACTAAGTGGGAAAGGGCACCGGTAAATACATCTCGATTTTCTCAGCAGGAATCTGTTTCTGCACAACGTGAACATCATCTCAGCTAGAAACAGCCTTCTGGAAGGGGTACATCCCAACTCTCCCAAGTTCTTCACAAGCACTTCAAGTGAAAATGCTCTATTCCCAACATGAGGTGCTGCCTGCTGTGAGCATTTCAAGGTGTCACCCACCCCAGACATGGCACACTTTCTGTAAAGGCTGAAGGGTACATGATGGCATGCTGCAACAATCAGTAAACCTTCCCTTTAGGATGCATGAACGTGGATCATAAAAACAGAAGGTAACACAGTCGATTGCTTACGAGTTAAAATTAAGACTTTTTGCATTGCCCAGAATTTTTGCTCTTACCTGAAAACATCATCATGTGCTGAAAGCTCCAACTGATCTTATGCCTCCTGCCCAAATTCAACAAGAAGGAGAGGGGGTAAATATGTGCAGCTCTGCCCAAAAAGATTGCAACCTGTTTGCAGCTGAGGGTTAAGGATTTATTTTTGTTGAGGTATACAGTTTTTAGTATCTGGCTTTAATATGAAGCTTCTGTTTTAGTGGGAGATTTACATCATGATATCAAGCGTTCTTCCTGTAGGTGTGCATCTAAAGCAGACTTTCCCCAATTTTATGCAACTTGTGCATTTAAAAGTGATTGCACAAAATGCAAATTTTTACTAATATAACTAAGTTTTTAGATGCACAGTGAAATTATATCTAGTATTAAAATGACCAGTTGTACAAATGAAGACTTTATGCTGAAAATTCGCACTTTAAATAATTATCACCACCACCACTCAGTTTTGAGTTTTGGAACAACAGAAATGCAGTCCTGTGTACAGAGGGGAAAACCAACTTAAGACCAGCAAGTGGCCACCCCATTATGACTCCTGCAGAGGCAAAATCTCCTATTGGCTAGCAAACACCTACCAGTAAAGAGTTACTAAGAATATAAATCCAAAAGCCATTTGTCAGCATTAGAATGAAGTTGAAAAGAATAGTGAAAGAGTATTGCAGAAATATATGACAGTAGGTGGTAAGCACCCCCAGTGTGGTGCAAAACATCCAGTGGTTCCAGTGAAGAAGCAGAAAGCTGAAAACAGTCTCCATGGTATAAGGAGCACTTTGGGAAAAAATAGAGTGGTGGGCTGAAATCCTGTAAAATGCCAGCACGGTCAGAAGCCAAACAAACACTGATCATTTGCTGCTGGGATGGGAACATTAGAAGAATAATAAATCTCCCATGGAAAAGAAATAAAGAGAGTATAAGAGCTCTAGACACCACTGCGTTATTGCCATAGCTAAAGCAATGCAATACTGTCAGCAGGGAATATCTCTAGGAAAATCAGATTTTGATTATTACTTTGTACAATAACCCTCATGCAACTATTCCAAACAACTGCTATACAAGTCCTTTTGAGGACTGCAGAAATCAGACATCAGAAGCCATCAAGAGTAATGTATGTAGACATAATAGCTAAGATTTTGCCAAGGATGCTGAGGCTCTAGCTCTGCCTTTACAGTCCAGCCTTTCAACAACTGGTGATGTCTCTACATTCCACCCCTGCAAGCTGTTAATTCAATGGGGACCACAGGTGTTGAGTAAAACATGGGTGCTAGTACTAGATGCCCTCCTCACAAAGGTAGAAAAGCACTCAACAGGCAACAGAGGCTAAGTGTAGTGGTAGAAAAATACGTGGAGAGTGTATTAAAAGGCGAGTAGGTAGAACAACAAGTACTAAAAACAAACCCAGGGCTGACAGCACAACTTGAGAGAAGATGGAAGGCCACACTAAGCATGAAAAATTACATTGCTTGGTATACCAGATGCATCTATTCTATTCATATCTTTATCCAATGTCTGCAGGGCTCTGGAGCATTTCTAAGGTCAGAAAAGTGGATGGGAGGAAACACAGGAGAAAATTTATTACTATTCCAGAAAATGTAAATGGCCAAAGGAAAATAAAGACAGTGTGATAAATCCTGAGAAGTAGTAGAGGAAACAGTAGAGAGAAGAGGAAAGAAGTACATCTCATACATGGCCATCTTTATATGACCTTTTACAGTGTTTTGCCTCCATTGCCATTAGCCCTACTCCTACGACAGGCAGAGGGAAATGAAGACTGGAAAATTAGTTCCCATTTCTTCATGCATACTTATAATTCTGCTGAATTTTCAAGCAGCCAGGTATATAGTGAGGTGAGAGTTACACAGTCCATTTCAACGGGGGCAGGATGCAGAGCTTACATGAGTATGACTACTACAAAGTGTTCTGTTCTGCGGAATTTGAGAGTCAGATACCAAGTCAACCAGAGAAAATGGCAGAACCTTTAAATGTGTACCCTTCATGTCATGGTCTGCACCCCAGCTCAGTTCCTTTCTCCTCGCATCACCAGAGACGCCAGCCTTGGGGACATTGCTCATTAAAGATGATCTATTCACCCACATTCCTTTTTATGTATTTGAAGTTTGCCCCTTACTTTCTCAAGGGGCCATTGGAAGCAGAGAGAAAAATGAATCCTTTTCCAGGTCTCCAAAGTTCAAATACAAGAACACAAACAGTGTTGGCTGTCAATGGCCAAAGCATGCACTAAAGCATACTCATTTATTTATCTACTGAAACAATATGGCTTCTAACATTTAGGTACAGAGCCAACAACTGTGTGGCACAGAGGCCTGAGGGCTTTGATGTAAGGTATAACCAAAGATTTTTCTCAAAATTATTGTGCCTGTGAGACATTAGGGAAACTTAGGCCAGCCACCATTCTCTGTTTGGTAAAGCCAACAGACATCACAAGTTTTTGGGCCCATAAGACAATAGAGAAACCTCACACAATGTGAAAAAGGATACAAAAGCTCCAATAATGAAAACTGGACTGAATATGTGCTTCTGGAAAGTAAACAGTGCCAAGCCCATATAAGAGAATATGAAGTTCTCAGCCAGGAAGTGCAACACCTCAAAGAGCTAGAGAGAAAACCATCACATGTTAAAGGCCAAGTAAAAAAGATGCTGTAAAAATAAAAGTACATGGACTACTACAGCAATGCACTGTAAAAAAGGTAAAAGACATCCTTGCCTGCTTTGTGCGACTTCTTGATTCGACTGACAGGTTATTGTATGTATAATGTGCCTGGGTAATTCCACAGAAGAGGACAGCCACCACACCTGTGAACAGAACCACATGTAAAAATCAGCCTATTTACTGTCAGCTCACCACACTTGCCCTTCACAAGCTCCATTTAATTTATACACAATTCCTAACCTTGAGATTCTATAATTCTTCCATTCAAGTGAGTGAGATACCAGGAGATGGTGTCTGAACCAAACCATGGCCTTTGTTATACAGTGAGCTGCAGCTTCAACACTGAACAGAATGCAAAAACACCCAACAACCCAACTTTAACCACAAACATATTCCTCGTTGAAAAGCTTCAATGAAAAAGTGGAAAAATGGCTGCTGAGATGGACTTCTGTCTCCACATACTTGAATCCAAGCAACTCACCGGTAAATCCACAAGCTTCTGCAAGCAAGAAAGTGCTCCAGGACATCAGGAAGAAGAGAGCCGTTTCCAGCAGGGGGAAGCAGTGCAACTTGGTAAACTTTGTCACGTTAAGTCACTTGTTAAGGGATCAAAAAGAAATAATTTGGCTTCTCTGTTCCCAGAGTATTTGTGAAAAACACTTTTATGAACTAACAGCCCATGCTTGTTAGAAAACAAAGCACTTTTGATGCTGAAAAATGCAAATTCCAACACATCAAGGCAAACTTCAGACTCAACTTGCAGCAATCAGTTTTGGATATTTTTGTTGTTTATCCATGACACAATGGATATATGTCCTTTATGTACATGTGTGGCTCCACCTCTTAGTGGTAATATTATCTTATTCTATGGTTCCCTTTGAAGTACTGGCAAGGAAGGGATATACACCTGCTGTTCCTTTTAGACTGTGTGGGCCTTGGCTTTTCAGGGAATTGGTGGGGGAATGATGTTTTGTTCCCCCTGCCAACCTCAATTATGAGTCCCACTCCCACCTCCAAATAAAGCATAAAATGCATTCAAAAGCATTTAATTTACAGAGCTTTTCTTGACTACAGCAACCCTAACACCAGTGAGATTCACAAGAATTTTTCTTCTCAGATTTGTTACTAAGTCTTTTCCAGCAAACATGGTTACTTCAGTACTTTTAAGGCAAAACAATTTCTGCCTACAAAATGTATTACCTCTCCTTGTGCTGATGTGTTTTAGAGAAAAAGCCAACTCAGACCAGCTCAGTGTTTCAAAGCAAAGAAAAACCAAGTTCATCTTGCAGAGGAGAGTAAAACCTGAGGAACATCAAAGCACACACTGAATTAACAATTCATACAGCTACTGAAGAAGTGGAACAGATTTCAGTAGTGTTAAATTTAGCCCTTCAGACACTACAAAAAAAAAAAGTTGTTCACCTATTTACAGAATCCTTTTGGTGTTTTTTTTTCCTAAGTGCTGCTCTGGAGCAGGTAAACACTGAACAGCACACTGTATCTGAGGTGCAAACAGCTATGCACAGTTCATATGAAGGCAATCAGTACCAACTCTCCAGTCACACCTACTTCTTGCTGACATCCCCTGCTGACTTGGACTAGGGCAAACATATATTCCAGACACACAGCTATGACCTTTGTCAGAAGGTTGCCCTCAAAACAAAGCCCAGAGCATCATAAAAAAAAAAAAAATTAAATTCTGTGTTGGCATTACACCAAATATAAAATGCAGCATACTTTTTAAGCAGCTATTAATTCTGCACAGAAACCATTTCTAAAACTTTTGAGCTCAGCTGATTTCCTCCCCACCACTTCCCCTAAACAGATGTAAGATCATGCTTCTGAGACAGCAACACCCAACATAAAAAAACCTGGAACCCATTTCCCCACAGAGTTCTCAGATATTCCCAGTGCCTGGCTCAAGGGAAATTCATGGATGCCTAAGGAAACTGGATAGCTACAGTCACTCCAAGGGAGAGGAGGAGGAGGTTCAAACCTGTTCCCCTGAAATTAGGCAAGGGTCCCTGTCAGAATTGGTTCCTTATTTCCAGTCTTTTCTGGCAGTTTTGTGAATCAAACGGTTTATTCCCCTTGCTGTAATTGTAAGTAACCATACCAAAATATTTCATTAAATCTGAAATTAAAACCTGTGCTCATCCTTTTGGAGGAAGATCAAGGTGAGAGAAAGGCAATAAAAGAAAAACATTTCATTATTTCTTATAATTGGTCAAATTGAAACATTAACTGAAATGAAATTATTATTTATTTTTATTTTATTTTTTCTTAACCCTTTTCTTTATTTGTTAGACATGGCCATGTATTTCACATCTTTTCAACCAGTCAGATGCTGCAATTTAGTAAAAATATACCATGTGGTACTACAACTTAACTATTTAAAAAAAAAAAACACAGGCAGCTTGAAAGCTGAAAGCCAGAATAAGTCCTTGCATATTATATACATCATTTGGAAACCATGTATTCCATTTATTCTCAAAGGACAGTGCATGACTGCATGAAACCCCTTACTCAGAGAGGTACAGATATAGGTACTTCAGGCTAAAGGAATATTAATCCATAATTTATGGGTTCTAATCAGCTATGAATAGTAAAATGCAAATTTTGTTTGCTTCTACAGCATTGCGTGACATTAAGGATGTTTCCAAAAGAAAACAGTCATATAATTAAACAATCAAAGAAAAAAAACAAAACCAAAACAGAACAAAAAGGAAAATATCCCCACCACACACACAACATGCCACCACAGAGGCTTTATTCTGAACAGCCTCACATCATCTTCCTGAGCACAACCATTAGAAAAAGCAAGGATTAGTTGCTGCTTCAGAAGCATAAATTTACAAAACGGATCTGAATGCATTTCAGCCTTAACTAGTAGCCAGCCAGCAAGGCAAAACCCACAACAACTGCATTTGAGCAGTGAGAGCTATGGATGGATGAAAGCCTAAAAGCCAAAGGAAGAATCGTGGTTCTGGGTCCCCTTGATTGCAGATCAGTGGAATTGAGACTGAACATTAAAGCATCAACAGCACATCTTCCCTGATATCCTTAAAGGGTTTCCATTATGTAGACATGCCAGGAAAATCTGGACAGTGCGTATATAAGACACAGTCCAGACATTACTGCTTCAGAGTCACAGGTTCATGATCATTGTACAAAACATCACATTTTACCCCTTCCAGAAATAACAGATTTTGCTGAAGACAAATCAAATACCATTTATCATAGGAGATGTCTTTCAAGACTAATAATAAGAACTAGGTTTTCTAACTCCATAAAAAACTAAACATTATTAGGATTTGCCTGTTAATGGCCCTCCCTTGGTTTGTTGCAGCAACATCACTAAGATTTCTACTATGGTCTCAGTTTTATTGGAAAGGGTTGATTTCTGTGGGTACCTATAATGTCTTTCTATAGAAAAGAAGTGACATGAATACTGGCCACATCTTAATACTGAGAATTAAACAAGCTAGAGTTAGTTTTGCTATAATGGGAAACAGAAAAGCCCTGATAATATCCGTATGTGCCACCTCAGCTGGAATAACCAAACATGAAAAAGGATATCAGAGCTGTCACAACCCCTGTCACTGCTCCCATCATGAAAGAACCACTGAATATTCCCAGAAAAACACCAACAGACTTGAAAAATGCTGCAGCATCAAAAGCATGGGTATTTTCACCTGTTGGCTGGTAGGCAACTATAGATCTAGAAAGAGAGAACACAATGACAAGTTAGAAGTGGCATCAGAAAAAAAAAATTCTGTAACAACACTACCTGAGCCACAGAGAGGCAATCCCATTCTGAAGGCATCTGTGTCATTCTGGCTTATGCATGCATTAGGGGCCTTGGGAAATGTTTGCAGTGGTTACCAATCCAGTTAAAGGCAATCCATTTAAATTTAAAATAATGTTTCTCAGAAAAAGCATTTATTTCAGACAAATGCCAAAAGCCATTTAGTAATTTCACAGTAGAAATTCACATAGTTACTTACGAGGATAATACAATGGCAACAGCATCATTCAACACACTCTCTCCAAACAGAAGGGCATAGAGATCGACATCAGCATGCAGCTCATTAAATATTGCTAGCACGGTAACTACAGAAAGAAAAGAAGAAAACAACACTGGAATGACTGTATGTGCTGTGGAGCAGACTTTACAGTTTGGGTAAAGCAACACAACCCAGGAATTGAAGTATGGGATCAAAACTAAAATGGGAAGCCATAGCCATGTTTACCCACAAGTAAGCAATTCCTCCATCAGTTTTAGGGCAGCTCCATTAGGAGGTGGCTCTTTTGTCTTCCCATCTGCAGTGTTCATAGCAACACCCCCATGATCAAGGGGCATGGGGCAGACAAAGCCCTTCTACCAAAGCCCTGGTATTATTTTAAAACATGTTCCATATAAGACAGCAAGCAAAATGTTGTGCAGCTCTTCCTGCTTTTAAAAGCTGTTTGGATTGTTGACACAGGTTTATTATTTCAACCATTGTAAAACAGTACAAATAATCCTAAGTGTTCCCTTAAGTATACACTATGCCACAGGTGTGAATTTCCACATAATTTAAAAAGGACAAGAGTGCTAAATATTTATAATCATTCTTTCAAGAAAATTCTGAGATGAAAGACCATGATCTTGAAAATGTTCCCATATACACACTTCAGAAATCACATGGTGATTTTTTGCATAAATTGCATGCAACCACCAGCTGTTCAGAGCTCAGCTCAATCACAGGAGCTACTTCCCTTTTTCACACTAATCATCACAAAGCACCTCAAATAAACTGCTTTAAATATCAAGCTTCATAACTTCAGCACTCCCCACCCTGGCCCCTGACCTACAAACTGATCTGTCAAGCAGAGACTTCAATGTGAGCCTGCTTGACTGAAGGATGTCTACATTATTTGGCCAAAAGCTGAAATTACTTGGCCAGAAAAACGTTCTTCTGCCTTAACTTGTGAAACATGAAGTTGATCTGAAAGAGGAAAAAATCCCCCACCTAAAGAACCTAAAAGCTTCAAATATTGCTCCTAAATTACCCATCTCCAAAAAATGTAGCTGAAGAAGGAAGTCCTGCTACCCAGAAAAAGCAATAATTCCATCTATTTGCAGTCTTAAACTTGATGCATACTTAACAAGAAACCACCTAAAAAATATATTTAAGTATTTGAACAGGAGAGTTAGACTTCTCTCCAAATATACCATGATGTCATACCAGTTCAGTCACAAATCAGCAGAGAATAGCTTTCAAAATGCTCAGAATTTGCATGCATTTCAGAGAAGAGGTTCAGAGATAGTAATCTGACATAACAGAAATAGAATCCTGTTAATATACAGCTGAAAATCCTAACAATATGGTTATTTTGGAAGGTTATTAAAAAAGTGTTTATCAAGCTACCTGGATCAGTGGCAGATATTATTGCTCCAAAGAGGAGGCAGTCTGTATAATAGAATTTATCAGACAGCTGACCCACCAACTTCATTAGTTTCACAACCCCATACATGAGATTCCTGAAGAGAAAGAAGATAAAACATTCCAAATTAAATAAGCTGGTTCACTTCAGGCAGGCCAAGGAAAAGCACAAGCGACAGCATTTCAGATAGGTTTCTTTTTGCTCCAGCTCAATGGGACACTGACACAGTGTAGCACAAAGCACTCAAAGTGAACTTTCCCCTTTTCCCTATGAAGCAAATCAAGTAATAAATGATCCAGAAGACATCATATAAAACCAGTAAGCAAAGTCTGAAATCTTCACACAATTAGCTCAGAATCTACGTGTGTCATCCGTTTTCCACCAAACTTTCCCTGCTCAAAATTCCCCTTGGTATTATTTCTCCCAACACAATACACAGGTCAAAAGCTCTGAGGTAAGATTAGTCTATAATAATAGATTATTTCTCTAATGAAATTCTTTGAGAGACAAGCCAAGGTCACCAATACAATTCAGGATTTCTGTTTTTCAGAATATCTGTATACAAGGCACAGTAATATGAGCAGCTTAAGAGATTGTAGGCAAGCAAACCAACATGACCAGCTATCTTGAACTAAATGTGTGTGTATATGCATACATAAAATATACATATGTAGGCAAAGAGAGAGAGAGTGTTTTCTCAGCTTAAACTTTAGTGTAGAGAGGAGCAGATATCAGAGTTCACTTACCCAATAATAAAACAAGACACTGCTGTTCCTAAAAAAGCGTAAGCCAAAATGGACCCCAGATTCCTGAAAAAGTGTCTCTGCATAGGAAAAAGAGGTTTATATACTTTAGAAAAGTTATATTGCCCATTCAGAACCATGTAGCACAATATTTCACTTGCATCAACACACAGAAACACACCTCTACTTCAGAGAAACATTTCAATTACTGCTACGTGAATTCAATCCAACTTCAATAAATTGAATAAACCAGATCTGTGCCATGCATTAGATCCTACAAGACAGATCCTATTGACAGAAACCAGCACCAATTCATGATGCCCTCAAGCAAGACTAGAATCTAGGCCCTTCTGCCATTAAGGGTCTGGCACATCTCCACTGGGACTCAGGATTAGGTCTGCTTCTCAGCGTAATTTACTGCATTTTCAACATTTAAGAAGGACCAAAACAATTCATAATAGAACATATTTTACTTTAAATGAAACTGACATTAATGTCTGGCTAAGTCCAAAGAAAAACAAATCAGAAAAATTAAGTGGAGTTTAATACATTTATACTCCAAAATATATGTATTTTCTCTTAAACCAATATGACCTAACCACTTCTGGAGGAAATGAGATTTTTCTTACTGTAAATAAATGCCTGAAAGGAGACTACAATCCTGAAAAAATCAGCAATCTCACATTAAAAAAAAAAAAAAGGATCTATTCTCCTCAGAAGTTATTGCACTTACTTTCTTCAGGCTATAACCAGCATGGAAAATAATAGGAGGCAATAGAATGTTGAAAAAAACTTCTGGGTCAAATGTTACCTAAAAAAAATAAAATATGAAATTTCAATTAGAAGCAGACATATACAAATTGTTAGGACTTTTTCCTCATTCATTTTCTGACAACCACTATTTTTGGTTGTTGAAATAGGTAAGTTTAGCCTCTAAAACATTGGCCAGCTCTGTTTGCATGTAGCAGCAAAAAGCTGCAGCTCTTGTTGGTAAATAGCATCTAGAGAGAACAGGCATCACATCAGCTACTCAAGATCTGGCAGCAGTCCCAAACACAGTCCCCTATTTTAAATTGAAAATTTCTAGAAGAAATGATGCTGAAGGAGACCTCTCCTATTGTGATACCTGATATTAGTATAGCTGCACATGAAATGCTATTTTAGCTTACTTTTTGTGCAAGTTTAACCACTGAATAGTTATTGTAAGCCAATCAAGTCAGATACAAGACTGGTTTTCAGAAATTTGGATAATACACCACTTCCATGTATTTCAGTAGGGGTTCCAGATATCCATGAAGGACTACACTACACTAAAGAACAAAACACAGCAGTTAAAATGCAAACAGAAGACCTTCACACATATGAGACTATCTATGCTCTTTTCACCCACTGCCTAAGTACAAGTTAGAAGACAAACACTACAAATGTGCCCTCCCACAGTAGGACTCGTTTCAGCTAACTTGAGACACCTAAAGCAGAGAGATACACACAGACAGCTCAGCTCTCTTCGTAATCTGCAGAAAGAAATACTTGCAGATCACAATCCTATGCTTCAAAGTCTAGCTTTGATACATACAAAAGTGATTAATTCCTGACACTGAATCAAAAGGCAAATAACACATCTGAACAACTTCTGATAGGTGAATTTCACTTCCAACACCAGACTGTCTTATTTGGTGGTTTATAGGGTGTAAGCAGTAACTATTTCCCAACAATAAACAGATTTTAAGACCCTAGAGGAAAAAAACCCAAAAAGCAAACCAACAAGGAACAATCATTTTTCACTAAGAAATTATAATTTTCCTTATATTGCATTTACACAAGGCAGCAAAAGGCTTTTTTTCTTTTGGTTCAGCTGGTCTCAGTGAATTCTACAGGTGTTAGAAACATACATTAAGTCTTCAAACAGAGGCCTTTAGGAAAACACCACATACATGTAACAGAGCAGAGTTTCTCCAGCAGTGATATAACACAGAAGGTGCTTTTGAAGTAAGCACTGAAGTGCTGTTACTATCAGGAACACTGACACTTGACACTACCTAAGGCTCAAATGGGATGGAGGCGGGAGGAGGGAGGGAAGCACAGATGAAGAAGAAATGCTAGGCCAAGCATGTGAAATGGTGTAGCCTCACCTTTCTCAACATGTCATTTTGCTCCACATTGTGGATCTTCCCAGGGCTTATTTCCCCTTTGAGCGTATACTCGAAGAACTTGCCGCTGACGTTGACCAGCAGGGTGGTGAAGGGCCTGTTCTCCTGCGAGCAGCTGAATGGTTTGTCGTGGCCACTCGTGGAGGGAGTCCCGTACCTCAGGATCACCCCAACTATGAGTCCTGGAAGAGAGGTAAAAACCCGTGAGGCTGATTTGCTACTCCTGCACTTTTACGAGTTTCAAACGTCATCCAAGGGATTGTGCATGAACTTTACAAGCATATGGGCATCATAAACACGTTGAAGTGAATTGTTACCGTCAGTTTTCTGCAGGGGAAGGGTGGCCTGAGCACATCAAAACCACCAATGAATCTGAAGGATCCAGCATTTGACTGAAGTGACAAACAAAAGGTTCCGGTTCAGTTTTTGTCTTCCTCACCCTCATTCACACCTCGGAAGTGAAAGCCCCCAGTCACATGAGAGGCCAAACATTAGGACACTTCAAATACATTTCACCTGCCCTTAGGACAGAACCAGGCAATTGCCAGAAAACAAGGACTGCTGGAAACACATGACCACACCTGATCTAGAATGGTGATGTTTGCTGTATTATTTTATGGCTGCAGCAAGGATGCCATTTTTAGTCTTAAAATTTTAGACAAGCAAACAATGCCTGTTGCATAATCTTCTGTGTGCTCCACAAACTTTAAAACTAAAAGACAGGTGATGTGCATGAGGAAGCCGCTACATGTTGTTCGCAAGCATTTTCCACATTTCATATAAACAAAAATAAAATGCGGTGTAAATGAGCAATCATAAGAGATCCAGGGTTCAGGAATATAGGACAAATTGCTTAGGCAGCAGAGAAAATCCAACCAGAAAACACTATCAGTAACAAATGCATCAGACACAGTGACAAAAATAATTCATAACTTAGTGCCAGGGGGCTGGAGAAGCACAAAGTTCTAGTTGAACACCATTCCTGTTACAATGTACTAAGAAAAAACATCTGCAGAGAGAACACATAAGAACAGTCAAAGTGGTTTTGGTCTGCTAAGTAAACAAATTGATACCCACTTACTAAAGGCTCCCCTGTTGCCTCAGGGTGATCTGCAATTTAATCTGTGTTCCAGACAAGTGCAAGATGAAGATGGATGTTTGATGCTTTTGTTGACAAGTCAGTAGTCAATGTTGGGTTTGCTCCCTGTGACCCTCCCTCTGCATCCATAGCTTCCCCAGATAGTAAATGAAGCTGACAGGTAATAAACAAAAAATAAATGAGGCAAAACAAACAAAAAAAAACTTACCACACACAACAAAAACCCAAATAGACTTATTGTTATGGCACAGTGCAAAGAGTAACCCAACTGCACCCCCAAAAAGCCAACCAAAGGAACACACCTCATTCTCCTAAAGCCCACAGTGATAAACTGTTTTAATGAAAGAAGATACAGCAGGTAGCAGCTGTGACATTAGTGGGAGGCTCCTCTCCAGCCTTCCTTCTCTAAGAACAGAGCAGCAACGTGATAAATCCTGGATAAACTGGAATATTAAGATACATTTTATTTAGAAAAGGGAACTACATACTCTGAGAGAACACAGAGATCCCCTAAGCAAGATAAATCTACTTACTGGAGTTTCAAATGCTAACAATTTAAATACATAGATTTATAGAAGCATCTCCTACCACCACCAGAGCATTTTACAGCTACAGATGATGGATGAGGCAGAAACACAAAGTGACACAAAGTGACAGCTTACAGCCAGTCACCTCCAAACCACTTGCACTACCTGTTATGGCTACAGACACCTTCACCTTGCTGCTTAGGCAAGCAGCCTAAGCTTTCTGCTGCTCTCACCCTCCTCACAGCTAGGAAGAGCTACGCTCACAGAATACATCAGGAAGACTGACTGGCAAAAACTGATCTAGCCAGCATCAGCCAGAAGTCCTGTAGTAAATCAGAATGCAAAAAGAAAACTGTACAGATGAGCTTACACATAGCTGTGGCACAAAGCCAATTCTATATTGCTGCTCAGCTGATAATAGAGAGGGGGACACTGGTAGCTTCTTAGGGTCAGAGACTGTCCTTACTGAATGCATTGTAAAAGCAGATGGGAAACTCCATTACTACTGCATTAGGAAGAGAAACCTGAGAGCAGGAGGTGATTGCACTATATAACTGGATATAATCCACTTGTACTTTTTCCTCCATAATAAAACATACCAGTTATATGACTATTATATTCATAACTAGTACTTAGCATTTGAAGTTAAACATTCTATCCCATATCCTCACTCTCCCTTGGCCCAGTAGCACAGCTACAGGGAATTTTCATATACCTCCTATTGGTAAAACAGCAAAAAGGATGAGTTTTTTGCACTGAGCACCATGCAGTTTAGGAACATGTGGTCTCTGCTGTCAGGGTGCTGTCTTGCAGCAGGATGCATCTGGACCAGGTGCCTTTGTTGAGGCAAAAGGCTGTCAGAAGCAGTGGGTGAAGCCACCCACAGCTCAGTCACTAAAGGAAATATGTATGAAAACAAAAGGGGAAGACACACAAATTCCACAGCCAGTTTAATCAGCAAAATACTAGACATCTGTTAGTTCAAAAGATTAATTAGAAGAATGGAAAGCTCCCTGACTGTACAAAGGTACAGGCATACTCCTATATATATCATATAGGCCCAAACCAACAAATTTGGAACATTAAAGTGAAACATTTAAGCACACATTTGACAGAAGTAATTAGTGCCTTTCCTAAAAACATTTGAAGCCTTCACAACAATCTATATGGAAGAATTCTCAATTTTCCAATGAACATCATGTCTTTAACACACTAAAAAATTACTGGACTTGTTATGTGATTTCTACATCCCATCTCACTTGATAAAACAACATTAACAAAGCTCAGACAGCTCAGTCAGCCCCCCAAGATCACAAAAAACTAAAACCCCAAATGCTTTTCAGGCAGAAGAAACTGCCTGGTTTATAGCCTCAGGAAGGATGCCCTTCTAAGCTGTCTGCCACTAGGTGTTTATACAGAGGACCAGGGCATCCTTAGTAATTCTCTCTATGGATTTCCACCATTTCTGAAACATCAGAGTTGCAGCTGGAGAGGAAAGTGGAATAGAAAGAGAGATACCTGGAATTGTTCAATGGACAAGCCTAGACTAAGACTTACTTATAGGCTGTTAACATAAGCATAGATTCAGTATAGCTCTGTTGTTTATTTGGAATGGTTGCTGGAATCTAGGAAGAGATACAGAAGAATCAGTGCATAAACTCTGTATTACTCCTACCCAAGGTGTTCCTGCTGAAGAGTATATGGAGAACCTGGAACAAAAGCAAATATTTTTCTGACTGCTTAAGAACATTCTACCTCTTCAAAAAGAGAACCTCGAGGCCAAACAAATCCAGCACTGCCTTTTATTGCAAGACTGCCACAAGAGAGAAAAAGCTATAAATGAGTACAAATACTTCAAAATTTTAGAAGAGCATTACTTTCAAAGTTTTGGATTGTGGTAGCTATTGCAAGGGCAAGTTTACATCATTGATCAAAGGATTATCTCAGAAACTAATAGTTAATAACCTTTATGCATGACTTGCATTTAGCAGAGAGAGCATTTATGCCAGCAGCTTGCCCATACAATGCTGATTACAGATTGTGTACTTCTTACTAGAAATGAAGGGTTTAAATCTGCGAATATTTTGTCTCTTCTGAAACAAATCACTACTGATAATTAAAAGTATTTGATTTCAGACAGTCATCAAATCATTTAGGTTGGAAAATACCTAAGTTCACTGAATCCAACTGTTACCCTGGCACTGCCAAGTCCACCACTAAACCATGCTCCTAAAGTGCCACACCCACACATCTTTTAAACACCTCCAGGGATGGAGGTTCATCCAACCTTCCTGGGCAATTCCAATCCTTGACCACCCTTTCAGCAAAAAAAGTTATTCTAATATCCAATCTAAACCTCCTTTAGTGGGTGGGTCAACACCAATCTAACAATACACCATTTAAAATGTCACCTTTACTTTTGGTTTTGTTTGAGTACAGAAGCCACTGAAGCGAGAACATGAATTCAGAAAGACACACATAGCCACAAGTACCTTTATCTGGTAAGAGCCGTGGTCTGTGTGATTTCCAGTCCAGTTCTCTGCTGAAGCAGCCCTGAGGTTTCAGGGAGCGCCAGCTGGCAGCTGACTGCAGGAACCAGAGGCATTCACACTTCACATCACACAGTTTGATCAGTGAATCCAACTTGATCTGTGAATCAGTGGAGTGGATCAATCTGTGAGCTCAAACCTGTTCAGAAACAGTTTCTTTCATACACTTCTGGTAAAGAGCCAGGTGCTGAAAACAGAGGGTCCCTCCCTTCCAACCTTCAAACTGAGGGAGACTTGGTAGAGATTTTACTGCTGTTTGCAGCTACTCTTTGGAGAGACAGAGAAGAGGGGGACAGAATCTTCTGGAAAGCTCACAGTGATTAAAACTAGAGACAACAAACTTGTTGCAATGCAGGCGAAAAATATCAGATAAGGTTTGTTTTTCAAAACAATGAAACGGCTAAGCACCAGAACAGGCTGTCACAAAGGCTGCATAATCTCCTTCCTTGCACATAGCCAAAACTCAGTTGAGTATGGCCATGAGCAACCCAAGCTGTGGGGTCCTGCTGTGAGCAAAGGGCTGGACAAGATTACCTCCCAAGGTCTTTCCCATGAACATTTGGACCCCTCAGGTATTTCATACTTCAAAAATTCCTTTAAAATCACGTTAATTGCTTTCTGGATCAGGTCTTGGGGCTTTCTTGTTGCTTTGGAGCTGGGTTTTTATTTTGTCTAAGTGACAGACTGCACTCCTAACTCAGAGCAAAATAAATACCAATGAGTCTCATCATAAAACCCCAAAAGATCCAGCAGACTAGGAAGGGGCTGCTTTTACTGCCTCAGTTCACCCTGACTTGCCACTTGCCTTGGGCCTCAACTGACCCCATCAAAAGCAGGCAAAAGGGGTGACCAAGAGATACTCAGCTAATTCCACATAAGTACAGGAAAGCAGGTACTGTGATACATCACATAAAGCACTTGTTACTAGTACTTCTTTTTCTTTCTTTCTCTTTTTTTTTTTATTGCAGCAGTGTATTTTGGAAGTCACACTACAGCAAACCACTGAG